CTGGCAAGTCTGAAAGGCAGGACTTTAGCAAGCACTGCAGGCTAACTGGAATTCCACCATGGACTATTTGCTTCCTCTTTCAGAGATAAATCAAAAGGAGAGGAAAAGAAAAAAGAAACCCACTAGTAGAAATACCTATCCAGATTAACTTGCAGTGGGAACAAAAAGGTTTTATCGTGTTAGCTATATCAACATTTAAACAGAAATATTTAACAAGAACTGCAGGATTCAAAAGCACGTTCCTGGTTTACCTTGTTAATTCTTTGCTTTTCCATTTCCAAACTTTTTACCATCTGCAGCTCTGATGTCTCCCAGCAAACCCACATTACCACAAGCCTGGTCTGGTTGATTATTAGGTACCCTTGGTCTCCCAGCCTAGTGGAGCCAAAGTACTTAGCAGCATACTTTGCTCATCTGTAAAACAGCATCCCTGTTACACAGAGCATGCTTTATTCAAGATGTTTACATGGGAAAGAGCAGGATTTCACAAGACTGAAGAACTATCTGCAACTTTCCACCTCTAAGCTCTTTCTTGTTTTAAGAATCGGGTGTCTGCCGACGAGGGTAAGGGGTCCTGCTCTCTCAGAAGTTTGGGCTAAGAGGGCTAGGAAGGTTAGCACCAAAAGGAAGGTTTCAGCTACAACAAATTTTTGGCCAAAGTAGTCAGCTGTAACAACTATTGTTATGACTAATAGATGTGGATATCCAAGCAGCCAGAAACAAACTCTCAGCATGTGGCCTGATCAATCCCAATAACCAAGTTGCTTCATGTGAAACTGTTCAGAAAGAGAGAAATGGTGCCATTGGGACTACGGACTCCTTCCAGTGACACACTAGAATATGAACCAGCTCAAGGTGATCAGCCACAGCACAGGCAAGCAGGCACTATGCTCGTCAAAATGCGATCTAGAGAAAAAACTGGTTACTTATTAAGTCAGAGTTTACCTTAATACAGAGGAAAACAGACACATATTTAGCTTTTTTGTGTGAATGGAAATGCATCTTGGTAACGAAACACCATGAAGCCTGTGTGCTCAGTGCGTTCCTCTGTGGTATGACTCTATACTGCACAGCAGCTCACTTATTTTTTTCTGATTTATTACGGAGCACAAACCAACAAGCAGAAAGCATTTTCTCGAAATGCCTGCCAAAAGCCAAAACAACACAAGAAAGGGTTTTGCAGGTGAAAGTACCAAAATTTGTGTACCTGCAGGTGCAGAACTGATTAAAAGGCATGCATAAAGGGAGGTAATTTCTAAGCAGGTGTTTGTACTTACAAAATACAAATTAAGATATATACCTACTTCATTGGAATCTCTATAAATGGAGTTAATCTAGAGATATGTCTAAATATGTACCAACTTTAACTAATTTTAGATTAATGAACAAGTTTGTTAATGACTTTTTAATGCAACTTCTATTTAGAGAGTGCAAAATAGTGTTAAAGACCAGAAACATGCAAGTACCAGAAACAAAGCGCAGGAGGACTCATTTCTTATTTTTCTATAGAGAAATTCTGCACTAATATATATTGTCAAACCACATTATTTGACAGAATAAAAAGAGACCTTTTCAATACTATCCCAGTCTCATTACTTCTGGTTATTTTCTGTAGTTAAATTTATCATTAGCTATTTTTATCCATGAAACCATGTATATTTATGGAATTAGTCTCTGTTATGTATTTATTTCAGTTTCTTATTTTGATTTGTTTTAAATGTAATTTAAGACCTCATGAACAGTAACCAAACATTTATGTATCTATTTCTCCTATTGCTATTTTGCTATGCATGCAATTCATGCATTGTTGTTTTCTGTAACTACGACCCCCTGTATACTCTGGAATTATCCTGAAATTTTGGTCTTATTTTCTTTTTTTCCCTGTGAGAGCCTATTATTTAGTTATTTAGTAGCTACTAGCAGAGGAGAGATTCATTCATTTACTTGATGATCATTTCCTCTACGTTAAAAGCCCAAAGATATTTGGTAATAAATAACTAAGGGTATTTTAATAAGTGGTTACAAACCTTAATGCAGCGCTCTCTATCAACTACGTGTCTGCCTGGCATATATATTCAATTCCCTGGTTTATCTGCCCATTTTCAGTCACTATCTTTATAACCCAAACAGCAAGAAATAGCATTTAGATAGTATCTTAGATGAACTGTTTAATTGTGCTCCAATCCTTTTTTCCAGATCAAAATTTATCTCTCTCTGGTAGTTTCTCACTCCATGTCCTTTTCTTGCCATGTGGGTATTTCTTTATTGAATAACTTGACAGATATGCTTCTTTGCACAATAAATTACAAATAATCTAGATATTCACTCAAATAATAGCATTTTGATTGTTTTCCCTTAATTGTCAAAATTTTAGCGAGGAACTAATATTGACGACACACCCTTGACAAATTGGGTGCCTTCGGAGTCCACCAGCTTAGTAACTGCTTTCTACGGCCTCTTTCCATTTACACTCCAAATCTGAACTCTGCGGATGTGTACTCTATTTAATTACACAGCGGTAGCACAGATGAGGCACTAGGCACTGTCAAAATTTTGAGAAAGGCAATCCCTGAAGACACAGTTTGCTATTTCTACTGAATGGGTATCATTTCTCACCTAGTTCAGTATTTTTGCTGTTGCCACATAAAGGAGTTTTCTGTACAGTATTTCAATGGGCCCGGCCTGTGCTGACTTGCTCCGCCTACCCGTGTTTTCATGTTGATTTGGATGTACTTATCTACTTACTTAAGCAGCCTTTCTACTGCTTTTATTTGTGCCAGCAAAGAGTTTTTCATGTTTCAGCTCCAAGCCTTCCTCTCTGTCAAACAAATATACTGTCTTGAAAGAAAGAAAAAAATGTTGAGAGAAGAGCTGGTGTGTTGCTCCTCAAGTGAATCCCAGAAGACAAAGATGAGGAAAAATGCCTAGTTAGTCACTGCATAAAGAAAAAAAAGCTGCATCAGCACTTCTCTGACCCTTTTTCTCATTAGTACTTCAGGGATTCACCTTGTTCAATGTGGCATGTCTTCCCAATTAGAGATCAGGCCTCCAAAAAGGATACCAAAGTGGTAGGGATACTACGTGAAATTGGGATTATTCTTATGACCTTGCTCAACTGCTGCAGCCACTGGGTTGAGCACATCCATACAGCAGCTGCAAAATTTTCCATAATCTCCCAGAGCCAGAACAAGAGTTGGGCATGAGACCTTAATAGATAAGTCTTCCGGTAGAGTTGAGGATCACAGTAACATCAGGACAGGGGATTTTTCTCAGATTTTAGGAGATTATGTCCAAGGCTGTAGTTTGGTCCAGAGTTAGTACTAATGCATATTCAGGAGGAATTAACACAGGTCAGGCTATTTTGATCTTGGCTCTACTTGTGAATTCCAAAACATTGGGGGTTTAGATTCCAAGCATATTCCACCTTTATAAACATTGTTCTCCATTTCTTTGGCTAAAAATATGCCACTTCCACTCTGAGCTCCTGTATACTGATGACCATATATATTAATCCATGAACTGCTTCAGATAATAAGCTCCAAATCCTTCAACTGAAAATCAACTCTGAAAACACAGATTACATCAGTCCAGTTCCAGTCTTCCACTACTTGCAACTACAGGACTAGGTCTCTTGCAAAGAGACCGATGAGAACCTGAGCACGAATGCGCATTCAAAACATCAGAAGTGTTTATAAGCAAGTAATTGGTTCCTTCATAAAATTTTGCAGAATGTTATGAAAATAAATTAAAAAGACAAAAAGAAAGAAAATTCAAAACACCCTCCTCATTTTAGATGGGAGATGTTCTTTCTCTGGGAAGCATGCTTCCTGGTCAATTCTATACCAGAGCAATTTACTGAGTTAAAGGCTTCTACATTTGGCCACATGCATTTTTCTTTAGAAATGCAGCAACAGTCAATCCAACATGAAAGCCAGCCAGACATGTCACTGCCACTGCCCACTTTAGGTGGAAATTCTCTTTTTTTAGAAACTGTAGAGCATTTATGTGGGCAGGAGGGAGCAGGGCAGAGAGGTTTAGTTCCTGGTTGCCATTCTTTAGGCATGACCACAAAGCTGCAATCTCTGGAACACAGCTGGACAGAAAGGTTGAGCAATGCCCCTGTCTCCCTTGGGGAAATCAGTCTGATGATGCCAGGAGCTGCGATTTGTCTCTCCAGGAATGTTGCCACCTGCAGCAATTAAACCTCCTCTATAATAGGATTTAAACAAGACGGTATTTTTCCCCAGAAACCTGCCAGATCATTGTTTCCTCCAAGTGCCTCTGACAGGCAAGAAAATTAATGCAATGAAGAGTCCTCAAATAGGGTACTGTGGCTGTCCTAAAAGCAGGTGAGGGATGCTGTGCATAGCTTGACAAAATTAAGTGAGCCTTACAACTCCATCATCAGTTCCTCAGACAGATCCATCAACCAGTGTTAGAGGAGCTGAAACGATGTCTGATCTCTATGCTGTCATCCACCTCCACTGCTTTTGTTGGGCAGGAAGCAAAGCACATGTGTAAAACCACTGCTGGATGCATTTTGTAATTCCACATACCACCAGTAGACTTCCCAACAAACTCCAGTGGCTTATCTTACATACCAGGAGACAAGAGAACCACTATATATCCATGGATATTTTTTTTTCCAAGACATTTTTAAAGCCTTTTAAAGTTTCTTTAGGATCTCCCACAAAAAAAGCCCTTTATGTCAACAGAAACTCTTGCTTAGATACACCTCACCTGTTATTTTTTTAGGACTGTGTATGATCATGATTCTGACATGTGATGAAGAACAGCTTTCATGGTTAAGAAAACACAGTTACACAGACCACACTTCACCCCCAAAACGTCAGATACTGCCACAGGCTCTATGTCAAATACACACCAGAGGGGTTAAGTTCCCCTTGAGCACAGTGTGATGGGGAGTGGGGAGTTGTTTTAGGAACGTGTTTGTCCATCTTTTCAGGACATCCTGCAAAGTGCCTTTGCAAAGATCTTACCTGTTCAGTGATGAAGGAGCTTGAAAAAGTGACAGCTGACCAAAAGAAGATCCCACAGCTGAGAATTATCTTTCTGTTGAAACGGTCACCAAGGTAACCAAAGATAGGCGCCGCAACCATGAAACTACAGATGAAAACTGCAAAGGAGAGAAAAAGGAAAGAAACGTTTAATAAACATCAGGCCAAGAACATGAAAACTAATTTTCTGCAAGCCAAATCCTCTAGAGAGCAGTTCCATTTAATTAGACATTCTGCAGCCCTGACTTAGAAAGTTGCGCAGTCTGATAGGCTTTCAGAAGTCAGTGTTTCTTTAATCAAACAGATTTTTCATTTTCAGAGAAACTTCAGACCAGTGAACTCATATTACATTTGAAAGCACCAGCCCCTCACAGTCCGCTGAGAGCTCAGCATCCGGGAATGGGCAAAGCCAGGACAGAATAAATTAAGAGCTTCTGCCTAAATGTCACTGAGAAGGTGAAGTGAAGGTTGGAAGGAGTTTCAAGCAAACAGAAAGCAAGCCAAGGGCTCCTCGTTGGCTCTTGCAGCAGAGACCAGAGAGAAATAGGCCACAAACTGAAGTTCATTCATCCTTCCTAGCAGTATTTTAAGGCAACCATGAAACAGGGAGGAAAAATGGTTAACACCGCTATCATATGACTGGCACCATACCTGCAGTTTGACAGAAAGCTCCCATCTCCTCGTTAGATCCTTTCACCAGCACTGAACTTGTATTTAAATCCATCACTGAGCAATGATTTTACCAAAAGAAAGAGTTTCAACCTACAAAACCCTAAGAGGCCAGGAACGTCCTCATCTGAAAGACTGCAAGTTCACCTTTTCCCTTTGTTTCCCCCAAAAAACCCCAAAGCATTAACCCAAGACATGTAGGAACGAGGCTCTTGATAGAATAACCTCTGCGAAATCTCCTCAGTTTCTGAGTTCACTCCTCCAGCCTAGCTCAAAACAAGCTGGCCAGTAACACCACTGAAAACGCCTGAAACAAGGCACTCGCACCATAGTCACAATTAATTTGGAACTTGGCAGAAATTGCCAGGTTTTCAGCTGATTTATACCTGGCTTTTGTCGGTCCACATTAGAGATTTGGATGAGAGCAACTCCATCGATTTTACTGCCATGTAGGACGAACTTTTTGACTTTCACTGACTGTCTTGGGTTCAGCAAACCCAGGAGGATTTGGGTGGTACACTAAAATACCTGGGGATCCCTCTTGAGTCACAGAGCTGAGACTCTCATTAATTATTGGGCAGCTCCTGGAAGGCAGGGTGGGTTTTTGGCACTGTCTAACCTCAGCCGTCTACTTTTAATTGTATAAAAGGGAGGAGGGACATAAAATAGGAAAAAAAAAATATAAGGGAAGAGCAGAGGATACACACCCCTTTGGTTGGAATGTGCACATAAAATTAAAGTGGTTAAGACCCAAATTATGAATTTTGATGGACGATGATATATGATGGCTCAAAAACATGCAGAATGCTGAACTATGAAATGATCTAAATGTCTCTTCTTTTTAATGCATTAAGATGTCAAAGCTGCTTTATAAATAAAACACATCCATTTGCATCTATATTTTGTGAGCCATATGATTGTGTGTCTATCAGTTTTGCACTGTGATATTTGATCAGAATTACAGACTTACTCTTTTTACATTAAGCAAAATACATGGCAGTAATACAGAAAGGTTAAGACAGGAAAAGAAGCACAGGCGGTATCATATCACATATATTTCAACAGCAATGCTATGAACAAGGTTACTGCTAAGCTAGCACATAAAGCCTACTAATCGATAGAATGCTCAGTCCCTGCATCTATCCCAAAATCCTTGTGCAAACAAAACCTGTTGAATACAACTATGAGCACTTAGAGGGTGTTTGCAGCTCCTGTGTTTTACAGAGAAGCTACAAAGCTAGTCTGAAACCCAGCTTAGCACTCTGTCCCCAGGAAACCAGTCCCCGTGCCCATCTGTGGGGCCAATACCTTTTAGGAAGCCTGGGCAGTGCTGCTGCCCCTTCCCTGTAGCACACATGGTCCTGGTGCAGAGCCTGCCTTTGCCAGACAGGGCTGCTGCATGTCCCCAGCACAGGTCTCCACTAATGCAGGCTCCCACCTCCTGCTCAGCTGGCTCATGCAATGCTTGACGTAGCCCAAGAGCTGCACCGTTCTGCTGACCCTGCTTCCCTGCTTAGTGGCAGGACAGGGGCTGCCTGGGTAAATGCTCTTTCCCACGCAGAGGCATTCTGCCATGCTTGCCCATCCCTGTGGCACAGTCCCTGAGCTGCACATCCTCAAAACCTTTGATTCTCCAGTGAACTTGGCTCTAGTAGACCAGAAGTGGCTTACAAATCCCTACTCTACAAGGGTACATCTGCACTGGCCCCAGTCCAACAAGGCACTTAAGCACATGCTTATATTAAGCACTTCAGAGTCATCAATTCCATGATTAAGTGATTTCCTGAATTAACACCAAAGTGCTCAGCACCTTGCAAAGCTGGTGCAGCAACCTGGCATGAAGGGTATGTGACTGTTCATTGGGAACGAGAAGCAGAAAATTACTCTCTTGACTTGTACAAAGCCCACTGCAATTTGACCTTACCCTTGGAAGGACAATGAAATTCGTTCATCTCAGAATCAGATATTCTGCCATTTTTAATGATGTAAAAAGACACGAAGCTAAAAAAGCTTCCAAGGGAAAATTAGAAACATCCAAGTCAGCATCCCACCATTTCAAGTATCAAATGATTCAACTTTGAGACATGGAGGGTGTGATCCAAAATTCCCATTAATCAGTTGGATTATTAGTTTCAGTGACCTCTGGATCATAAATGCAAAGCCTAATTCTGGAATTTGAGCAAAAGCAGACAAAACCACAAACCTCCTCTTCCCAATAAAACAAACAAACAAAAAAAAAAGATCGTCCAATGCCTTTCCAGCAACATACATCCTGCTGTTACTCAAATGCCTTTGGAGAATTTATTTTTGGAAGATTCTGAACTGAGCTTTGTCACCAGTAAGCAGCTGACTTGACAGCTCCACAAGGTGTAAAACGAAAGGACAACAGAACCCAATAAATAATAGGTAATGGAACACAGCTGTCATAATAATAAATGCAATTTCTATCAGAGTATTTATGACCCAAATATGCATCAGAGCATTGATTGACTCAAATAAATGCAGAATGCGATGGCTGTGTGGTCTGTCAAAAGGATCTGCCCATTACAGGCATTTCCCATGAATCAATTTTTGCAATTACTCCTGCAAATGACAGACAAGACTCCTGAACAACAGACTGGGTTGGCAGAATAGAGGTGAATGAATCTAGGGCACATTACCAGGTGGGATGGAAACCCAAGTTACTCTAGACCAGGAGTTGAGGTTCTGCGACAACTAACCACCACAAAGGAGAGAACTTAACCAGAAGACAGAAAACTCCCAGCACATTCAGCTGGAGAGAGGGGCAGCGGAAATATGATGGATTTGTAGAGAAAGATGGCTGCAGCATAATGCAGAGGAATGCATTCCAGGAAAGGAGCCTGGCACTTGTGCCAGCCTCTTCCTATCGGGCCCCTCTCCCCTCTTCCACAGCGTTTTCTGCTCCTTGTCCTCACCTACCCAATTAATACCCAAGTGACACCACAGCAGCTGTAGCTTCGGCTCAACCCACTGCCACAAATCTTTTATATTAGGAGAGCACTGGGACAGAGGCTGGCATTTCATTTGCCTCTTCCAAATCAACAGCTCCTCTTCCCTTTTACACTTAAAGCCATCTTAGGTTATTACCAACTCTTGAGAAGCTGTACAGTGCAAGCCAGGGCAGAGTTAGAAATCCATCGGGATTTGGGATGAGCTACTGAAATGGTAGCAGTCACATTCAGAGCAGCTGTGGGCAGGTATAGCTATGTCAGTCATTATGTATGCTGTACAGCTAATTTCTCCTGGTAAATGATCTCCAACAGCACCAGAAGTGGCTCAGTCCCAGCACTGGGTGGAGCTGAGAGACATTTCTGCAGGAGCAAATTATCATGTGAGCAAAGGATGAGTAAACAGACACATAATGAATGCCGTCCCAGGAGGGAGGTTCTTTTAAGTACAGGTATTTTCAAAAGGAGATCCCATTTGTCTTTATACCTCCCTTTGCGGCTTAGCCACTGAAATGCCGACCGCAGTAAGAACGCAGGAAGAATATAATTGCCCAAACAGGATGGCTCAGTGTCTATTTCTGCCTCCGAATGCCTGTCCCACCCTGTGCAGGTGCACAAGCACCTTCGCAGCCAGCACTGCCCAGCTTTTTCTGTGCATGGCTGGAATTACAAAAATGTGCAGCATTAAAAAAAAACCACAAACCCCATACACTTCCCGCTCAAACACCCACCAGAGAAGGAAAGCATCCTCCCCAGCCTCTATTGCCTACTTCACGTACTGTAGCTTCAGTCATCTTTCAGGGATTTTGGCCAGGGAGCTGCTGTTCAGCCCACGCTTTCCGCTCTTAAGAGCTGTCTCTGTACCCAGTGGGAGAGTAAACCCCCAGACAGTGGAAGCAAAGGAGATGAGGGGAGAGGGGGAAACTGCAGACTTTAAGAGTCACAAAAAGCTCCTGCCTACTGGAACTAGACTTCACTGCCCTTATTTTTCTCTTCTTTCCCTCCAAACAAGAATTTACCAGCTTGACTCCACAACTGTTCCCTGAAAGGGCTCTGACCCATCAGCTTTCCAGCCCATGATTCCAGAGACCCTGTTGCCTCTGTCTCACTTGCTCTTTTCTTACATGGGCTGATCAACCTTTTCTATCTCCGAGAGGGGCTTCTCCTGCCAGCGGGTCGTCTGTGTAGTAAACCAAGGCAGCACATGCAGAGGCTGCATTTCCTCAGTTGCTGGAAGCTTGGGAGGATCACAGGCACCTCCAAGAAAAGATCCCTTCTTTTGGTTTTGACTTCAAAAACACAGGGTTTATTTTTTCCTATCAGGAATAATGCTAGGAAAGTTCAGGTTCAGGTAAAAATAGCCTACTTGCTCTATGCAGGGATGCTCAACAAGAAAAAAAAATAGTGGCTATCTTTGAGCTCTGAGTCAGCATAAAACCATATGTACAGGTCTAATTGAGTGTTGAGAATGTGTTTGGCTC